GAAAAATAATAATAATAATAATAAATAAATATTTCAACATTCAAGTAATTGCTATTTTGATATATGTTAGCCAACTTTCATATAATATTCCACAAGTCTTTATTGTAGGGTTTCCATTTCGCTCGCTGCAGACTAGGTTGAAGATCTAGGTTCCTCGAATCCTTAATCTTGAAATAACTTGTGTCCCTGCTTCAACAAAGAAAATTTGTGAGTTTGAAAAGGTGGTGGTTGGTTTGTAGTTCCATCTTTCGACAAAGGCGGCTCAAACACTTATGACGCATTGATTGTTTCCAACGTTCAATACTTCTTACTGATTGATTGTACTTTCATCCACATTTGCTTATTTTGCGACCTAAATCCAATGTCTTCATCTCATAACACTCATTGTTTAGCCTTCATAGGATCAGAGAATTTTCAAATTCAACACTTAAAGACAGATTAACTCAGTGGCCTGATGCTTTGTCTAGTACCGATTAGAGACTTGGTAGCGAGTCTTGAAATTCCTTCATAGTTTTTTTTTTGTTTTGTTTTTTGACAAAGACTCGACTCAAATACATACCAAAAAAGTGACCAAAAAAAGTATAATTAAGTTACGAACTATATGAGAATAAAAGAAAAGATTCGATGAAGACTCTTTTTTTTTTGTAAGAAGAAGAAAGAAAAACTTATCTGAGTGTGGGAGCCGAGTCTATTGATCATGCCATGCACTTTGAATTGATTTCCAGACTTGGCTATCCAATCTATTTATCAACCATTATTGATTATTCAATCTTGATGTGGAATCCCAACACTTAATGAAGCCATAAATAATCTGAACCCTTATAGAATTTGTGGTATTAATGAAGGTCTTTGCTGCTAAAACTCAATCATGTTAATTGCTCCAACTCACGTCTGCCTTAGGGTGCATGTCAAGATTTTCACCAATAAGACTCTCTTATATTCAACTCCTTTTCGCCTTACGGTGCCCACTTAGGGTTTTCACCAATAAGACTCTCTCATTTTTATTTCTTTTTACTCACATTTGTCTTATGGTGCCCATTCAGGATTTTTACCTACCTTTAACCAACTTATTCTCGACATATCAAGGGCTGATGCAAAGACTTTTTTTTTTGACTTAATATGATGGGGTTGATTTTGAGCTGTGAGATGAGAGACCGAATAAATAAACAAACGACTTTTGCCCCAGTATACTACAATATGAATTTTTGGATTTGTATTTGGTTGAACCGAACCCAATATTAGGGCTGCCTACGTATCTTGCCGAAACAAGAATCAGGTCAAACGTAGTTCAGGCAATTTGTTTTGTTTTTTTTTTTGTCAAGGACACAGCATAACCAAGAGATCCCATTGAATCAACCCTTGAAATATCAAGCCCAAACGTAAGGGTTTCTAATGTCGAAACTCAATCATATGTAATATCTTTTCACAGCATCAGCATTGACGACCGTTTCTGTCACTTTGCCTTCTATATCTGCTAAGTAAAGAGCGCCATTGGGTAATACCCTTTTAACAACGAATGGTCCTCTCCAATTTGGAGAAAATTTGCCTTTGGTTTTAGCATGATGTGGCAAAATGCGTCTCAACACTAATTGACCCTCTTCAAAATGTCTGGGACGCACCTTTTTGTTGTATGCCCGTGCCATTCTTCTCTGATATAATTGTCCATGACATACTGATGTCAGACGCTTCTCATCAATCAAACTTAATTGCTCTAACCGAGTTTTGATCCATTCATCATCGTCAATTTCAGCCTCCACAACGATTCGTAAAGACGGGATCTCAATCTCTGCAGGTATAACTGCCTCAGTCCCATATACTAGTGAATATGGGGTAGCGCCCACTGACGTACGGACTGTAGTGCGATAACCCAACAAAGCAAAAGGCAACTTTTCATGCCATTGTCGAGAACTTTGCACCATCTTACGAAGTATCTTTTTTATATTTTTGTTAGCAGCTTCTACAGCCCCGTTTGCCTTTGGGCGATACGGAGTCGAATTTCGATGCTCAATCTTAAATCGGTGGCATACCTCTTGCATCAAGTGGCTGTTGAGATTTGCAGCGTTGTCAGTTATAATCACCTTTGGAATACCAAACCGACAGATGATGTTAAAATGGATGAAATCCACCACGACCTTCTTGGTCACTGACTTGAAAGTTACTACTTCCACCCACTTTGTAAAATAATCAATAGCCACTAAGATGAACCTGTGACCATTCGATGCTTTTGGTTCTATCGGTCCAATCACATCTATTCCCCATGCCACGAAAGGCCATGGAGCAGACATTGCATGCAACTCAGAAGGGGGAGAATGTATTAAATCACCATGTATTTGACATTCATGACATTTACGAACAAATCGTATGGAATCCCGCTCCATGGTGAGCCAATAATACCCTGCTCGAAGTATCTTCTTGGCTAGAACATATCCATTCATATGAGGTCCACAAACTCCTGAGTGTACTTCAATCATGATTGTGGAAGCCTCTTGAGCATTTACACACCTTAGAAGACCTAAATCGGGTGTCTTCTTGTACAGTATGCCTCCGCTTAAGAAAAAACCCCTTGCTAGTCGTCGAATAGTCTTTTTTTGATTACCAGTTACATCTGACGGACATTCTCCAGACTGAAGATAAGTTTTGATATCATAAAACCAAGGCTTACCATCAAATTCCTCCTCAATCATGTTGCAATAGGCATGTTGATCACGAATTTGTATGTATAAAGGGTCGATATAGGCGCCATCAGGGTGTTGGAGCATCGAAGATAAAGTGGCCAATGCATCTGCAATCTCATTGTGCATTCTGGGAATATGTCTAAACTTTATCGACACGAATCGTTGACAAAGACCTTGTAAACAATGTTGATATGGTATGAGCTTTGGGTCTCGAGTTTCCCATTCTCCTTGAATTTGATGAACTAGTAAGTCTGAGTCTCCTAACACTAACAATTCTTGGATGCCCATGTCAACAGCTAACCTCAGACCCAAAATGCACGCTTCGTACTCAGACATATTATTAGTACAATAGAATCTAAGTTGGGCAGATATGGGGTAATATTCCCCTGATTCAGACATAAGAACAGCTCCTATTCCAACTCCTTTCCTGTTAGAGGCACCATCAAAGAATAACTTCCAACCTTGATCGTTATCGTGAATAACTTCGTCGATACAAGATATCTCTTCATCTGGAAAATAGGTTTTAAGTGGTTCATATTCTTCATCAATAGGGTTCTCTGCCAAATGATCTGCCAATGCTTGAGCTTTCATTGCGGTCCGCGTTATATAGATAATGTCAAACTCTGTGAGCAATATTTGCCATTTCGCAAGCCTGCCTGTGGGCATGGGCTTTTGAAAAATATATTTCAACGGATCCATACGAGAGATGAGATAAGTAGTGTAAGATGAAAGATAATGTTTCAACTTCTGTGCTACCCAAGTTAGGGCACAACACGTTCTTTCAAGAAGGGTGTACTTTGCTTCGTAAACGGTAAACTTCTTGCTGAGGTAATAAATGGCCCGCTCTTTCTTCCCAGTGTCATCATGCTGACCCAGTACACAACCAAAAGAATTATCCAGTACTGACATATACAATATCAAAGGTCTTCCCGGCTCGGGAGGAACCAACACAGGGGGATTCGATAGGTAACTCTTAATTTTTTCAAAAGCTTCTCGACATTCTTCGGTCCACTCGACTGTGGAATTCTTTTTCAACAACTTAAAGATAGGCTCACAAGTTGTTGTGAGTTGAGCAATGAATCTGCTGATGTAGTTTAACCTTCCTAGAAGGCTCATAACCTCAGTTTTGTTCTTTGGAGGTGGCAATTCTTGGATTGCTTTAATCTTTGAAGGATCCAACTCGATACCTTTTCGACTGACTATAAACCCCAAAAGCTTCCCCGATTGTACTCCAAATACACATTTTGCAGGATTAAGCTTGAGATTATACCTGCGGAGCCTTTCGAAGAATCTCCTTAAGTCTTTCACATGATCTGACTGTTTTTTAGATTTAATGATAACATCATCTACATAAACTTCGATTTCTCTATGCATCATATCGTGAAACATGGTTGTCATTGCTCTCATATAAGTTGCCCCTGCATTTTTTAATCCAAAAGGCATAACACGATAACAATATGTACCCCATGGAGTGATAAAAGATGTTTTTTCTGCATCTTCATCATCCATAATAATCTGATGGTAGCCCGCATAACAATCCACAAAAGATGCAACCTCATGTTTAGCACAATTATCCAATAAAATATGGATGTTAGGCAAAGGAAAATCATCTTTTGGACTTGCCTTATTCAAATCACGATAATCAACACACATTCGAACTTTGCCGTCTTTCTTCGGGACGGGTACGATATTGGCTAACCAAGAAGGATATTGAGAGACTTGAATGACTTTGGCCTCAAGTTGTTTTGTGATCTCCTCTTTAATTATTACACTCATGTCGGTTTTGAGTTTTCTCAACTTCTGCTTTATCGGAGGAAAATTAGGGTCAATTGGCAACTTGTGAACAACCATGTCCGTGCTTAATCCAGGCATGTCATCATAAGATGACGCAAAAACATCTTTGTAATCAAACAAGGCCTGGATTATATCGTCCTTTTGATGTTGAACATGTACACTTATCTTAGTCTCTTTAATAATTTCCTGATCCCCCAGATTTATCGTCTCAGTTTCACTCATGTTTGGATTTGACTTATTTTCAAAATGATTGAAATCCCTCCTTACTTCTTCAAATACTCTGTCTTCATCATGTTCAATTTCTTGACTTATTATTTCAATATTAGGTCGAAGATTAGATTGGATATTAAGATCTGGCGAAAAAATCTGCATGCATGTCATATCACTAGAATCGGCATAGAAAGAACTGTATAAAAGAAAACGAACAAATATATTAGACTGAAATAAAGATGCAATTACATCCTATTGAAAAGGGAAATAGAATGTTTGAAATAAAATGACAAGATAAAATCCGAATTACAATCCTTGAATGAATCGGATGATAAAAGAAAAAACAAGACAGACTACCAAGACTCGTCTTTAACGGGGAGAGGGGTGGCCTCCCAATTGTTTAGATTGACATCAGGACCAATGAATTGCACATCTTTGTCGCTAGTGCCTTCTCCGAGTTCCACCATATCAACCTCGACAAATAAATCTTGAAAATAGTTGATCATTTCTTCGCTAACTTTCATCACTGGCTCTGGAAAAGATGATTGATAAGATTCTGTTGCACGGGCTTTGATGAAAGATTTGTAGATTGGTTGTATAGGCTTGGTAAGTGACCATACATCTCTCTTCTGCTTCTTTGCATTCATTTTGTCCTCGACTCTAGGTTGGTAGCCTAAGCCAAAAGTACCGATGCTCTTTGGTAGACTCACAGGATAAGCTCTTCCTTGCAAGCAGATTCCTAAGCCTTTACCCGGCTCAAACCCATGTTTCAGCAATTCATTCACCACCATTACAGACGCGATGGACATATTTGGTTTTGGAATGACACTCCCCTCGGGGACATGCTCAATAACCACTACCTCAGAAGCCTGATAAACTAGTGCCTCATTCTCATTATCCGCATTGATAAAAGGGAAGGAAGAGTCTTTGTGGATTGACAAATCCCCTTCACCATGAACAATTACCTCTTGTCGGTCGTGTTCAAACTTAATCATTTGATGCAACGTTGAGGGGACGGCTCCAGCCTTATGCACCCATGGCCTCCCCAACAATAGATTGTAGGACGCGTTGATATCCAACACTTGAAAATTCACAGCTAAATCCACAGGCCCTATGGTTAGTACGAGTTCTATCTCACCAATAACATCTGTTTTTGACCCATCAAAAGCTCTAACACATACATTGTTGGGTCGGACCCTTTCAGCACAAACATTCAATTTCTGTAGAGTTGATAAAGGACAAATATTTGCTCCAGATCCTCCATCAATTAGAACTCGAGTGACATATGAAAGCTCA